ATTTGTTCAAATTGTGTTCACGGTTCATTTGTGTTCAAATTGTGTTCACGGTTGTTCATTTGTGTTCAAATTGATCAATATCGAAAATTGTTACTACTGTGTTTCTTATGCGATTTATGAATTCATACAAGAATGAACACGAAAGATCAAAGTAAATAATAATAATAATATGAATGCATATTTTTTAGGATTTGATTGTTTGTAACTCCCCATTAATTGTTTGGGAGTTACAAATGAATTCAATTTACTAGAATACCCTTGTATAAGACATAAACCTATAAGAATAATGAAATTTGATTGGTTGAGAGGGTTTTCAAAGTTAACACAAAAATGATGGTTAACAATTGATCTTCCCTATATATATATATATATATATATATATATTTGTATTTCACATTTTAAGTGTGTAGAAATAATTATATATATGTTATATAAGTGTAAAAGAAGTCCGACATTTATATTAACCGTGTAGCTAGTACTATTTATTAATAAAAAAAATGCATGAAAATTCAATCAAAATTTTTTTTCTCTCTCTCTATATAGATGAGTTGTTATGTAATCATATATATTTGTACAACCAATACAATTCAATATCAATCGTCCATTTAATTTGATGAATATATGTGATTTCATAAAAGTTTTAATTGTTTTATAATATAAAGTATTGATCATAATTAATGAACTCTAGACATCTTTCATATATATTCAAATCATAATAAATGAAGTCTCATCATTTCCATAAATATCTCAATTGATTGAGTTACATTGGTTGTACAAATGAAAATGATTGCATTTGAAATATACCCTATATATATAACATATATTTAAGTGGAAAACCGGAAATTTTGCCAATTTCGTCACAAAGTGTAGACGCTACACTTTATAAAAATATGTAGGATGGATCAACTTGTTGTGGCTAGTGTCGCAAATGGATTGAGCATCTAAAAAGTCACGAATAATTTTGTACTCGTACCCGTGTTTTCGTACCCTTTGGGTACCTGAGGGTGAATATATATATATATGCATGAACTTTATTAAAATAATTAATGTACCCCTTATAGAGTAGCAGCATCGGCTGCTCTTTTACTACTTATTTATTCATTATGTGGAATTCTAACTCAATATGGGCCTGTAAACATTTTACACACTACAATATAATCTATAGCTTTATTTTAACTACTTAATTACTATGTTACTTTTTATACGAAAAATTTATGTTTTCGTGGATATACGGTACATATTCAATATGATAACTACAAACACTCCGACGTATGCACATATTTATTGTACTTGTAGATCGAAAATGACTTGGGCGATATTGGGATCAACATTAATAGTCTTATGATCAACACGCCGGATAGGAGTGGATGGTCTTGGTTGYTGGACGCAAACAATATATTCTCTGTTAGATCTCTTAGGAGATTGATTGACTGTGTTATGCTTCCTTCTATGGAACAGGAAACTGAATGGCTTAAGTGGATACCCAGCAAAGCTAATATCCACTTATGGAGAACGCTCAACAATCGGTTAGCGACCAGGGATAATCTTGTGAAATGAGGAGTGGCTTGCAGCTCTGACGAGTGCCCGATGTGCCTGGTAACGATGGAGAACCTGGATCATGTCTTTGCGACTTGTTCTACGGCAAAAGTCATTAACGCGCATCTGGCTTCCTGTGTGAACTGGTGGCCGGCGACTGAGAATTCGGTTCGGGACATGTGGTCGGTGGCCTGCGCGTATGGAGATAGTTGCAGAAGAGAGGTGGGCAAGGTGATTATGGCAGCTTATTTTTGGACCGTCTGGACTCAAAGGAATCACAAGACGTTTAGGGGCAAAAACAAGTCTGAAAAGGAAGCTTGTAGTGATATTCAATTCACTGCGTATGATTGGATTAGATGTAGAGCGAGGTTTAGCAAGTCTTTTAGTTGGGAGAGTTGGTCCCCTAACCCGGTTGATGCCATGTACTTTGTTTGAAACTAGCTTCTCGCTAGGCTTCCCTCTTCTTTAATATATTGCCTTTTTGCTGTTAAAAAAAACGATTGGATATGTTAACTCAACTCTTACTTGTCTTGGGTGTGTATGAGGTTCTTTTCCTCAGGGGTGTGTATGGTTTGCCTTGAATCGAGTGAAGCAGTACACTGCAACAATAACTGGCTTAGCCGGTTGTCACTGTGTTGGTTGCCGATTTGAAGATAAAAATTCCCCATTTGAGCCGAATCAAACGATATAAGTTAATAGAGGTACAAAATAGATAATTAGCTATTAGTATGTAGCTTAATTACAAGTCCCTATTGCTTAGTTTTGAAAAACAAAAGTTCAAATCTTTTGCTCTCTATTTCTTTCTTTTATTTTCTTCAACTTTTGTCCCCAATTAATTGTCACTGGTCAAACCACAAGGGTGGTGCTTGATTGGTTTGACCTTGACTTCAAAGATCAAAAGTACCAAGAGGTCCCAGGTTCAAATCCAAGGAGGAATAAATATCCCATTGTGGCCACGGAGGTTCAAATGCGGTGACTTCGGGCTATCTGCAAAGCAGGTGGACGCTCTGGGATTAGTCGGCTCGCATAGCGGGTTGAATATCCAGGTTAATCAAAAAAAATCTCAAACCGAACTTGCTAGTTTGATAGATATTTGAGATCTAATTAAACCGGCCAAAACAAATTGTGTACAGGCCTACCATCTCAAGCATGGAATGTTACGTTAGGTTCTATATCTAGTCATTTGGTGTTAACCTCACGTTTAATTACTAGCTAAGACAGAATCCAAATTTAATTTTCAGAATAATTGTAGTATTAATTAGGTTTATAGGATGCTAAACTTGTGTAAGTGTTCCCAATAGAATGTTTTGTAAGACATAAGTCAATATATTACATTTAAATGTGTTGCAATAAGTTTATAGAACGCTTTTTGCCTTTTAATATGTTTTTATGACATTTTTAAAACAAAGTGTTTATTAGCTTTGTATATGATACTATTTAGAAAAAAAAGTGTCTTATCAAAACAAGTGTCCTATAAAAAGATGTGTTTATATGACACTTTTCAAAAATATTCTATATAAAATAGTTAATATGACGTTTTATTTAAAAATGTTCTAAAAAAACTTGTTAAGATGTTCGAAACCGTCTTATAAACCTATTACAAGAACACCTTTTGATAAATAGGACACTTTAGCCTTTGATCCTTAAAACGTATATCCTGTAAAACAGTTTATTGAGACACTTACACATTTTTGCCGTTCTATAAACTCAATTTTGTTGTACTGAGAGAAAAATATTATATTTGAAAAGATATCATGTTCTTCCACCGTTTTTTATGTAGTTGTTTGGTAGATGTTGAATGATTTAATGCGATAGAACGAGTAAATGGTCAAAATAATTAAAAAGGCTTTGTACGCAGATTAAAAAAATAATAGATATGCATAATCAAACACAACAACAGATCCAGTAATCACAAAACTGGAAGATTTTTTAACAAACATTGATGAAGCAAATGAGATATGTGAAGAAGACATAAACCAATAGTCAAAAGAGGCGTTGGGATGAAGCAAATGAAGAAACGAACCATGGAGAAAAAAACTAGAGATAATGCAAGAACTGAGATGAAGAACGGAAGCAGAGATATGGGAACGGGCTCCTCTAATGATAGAGTCGGTCAATCCCTGCAAAATAAGCGATTCAGAGAAATTTGGAATGATTCAGAACTCATATTCTTTACCAAACAAGATGCACAACGCCTCTTGGATGACAAGGTAAACAAACAACCCCTAGAGCATTAGGCATAAGGTATTTGGTGGGCCACTGTTTTTTATTGATATAATACTGATCCAAGTTTGTAAAATATATAAATTGATAACATTTGAGTTGAAGATAAGATTGATGGTTGTACCGGAGTTTGATTAATTGGCTAAAATCACAGGTTGATATTGATCGGGAATATTGAATAGAAAGTTCCATTATTTAAGAAAATGTATGACATAATTTTTCGAGTATATAAGTTGGAGGAGTAAATGTCTAAATTTAAGGAATTGTTCTAAGAATGATTGATTGCATAAAACATTCAAAAGTTATTCATTTGCCATTGCGTGAAAAGTTTTTAACAAGTCAAACACGAGTGTGACTGAAAGTTTATATAAAGTCAAACACGAGTGGACTTCAGTCACAATATTGATGTCGCAATAGTCAGAATACGTGGTTGTAACATGAAGCATAAAAATTACCAGACAGTTTAGGGAAATGTTGGCAGTTTGTAGTTTCGGAAAGAAAGCATTTAGCCCTAAACAAACCAGGAAGTTTGTTTAGAAGATGGGGAAATTAAGTATCTTATGCCAACTTAGTTTAGAGACTCTATTGTGAATATAAATCCACTGTTTTGTAATGTTTTGAAGAACACTGAATGATCAATTTTTGGACCAAATGACCCCATGGATATACATAGGTCATGTGTTCACGAATAATATTAACATATTGTTCATTAGCTCGATTCTTTTTGTAGTTGTTTCTGTTTGATGGTTTTTGATTACATTTCAACATTGTCACAAATTTGTTACATTATTATTATCAACAACTAATATTACGAGATCTTTTTGTTTGACTTTGCTACCAAAATGAACATAGTAAAAAGGGCTCTTGATATGAAAACTTTGAAAGGGTCACTTGTTCTGACACTGCTTCTGTTCCAGAACATCATTTGCATGCATATTTATAGTGCATGAGTGCCGGTATAATTGCCTAAACACACACACATATATATATATATATATATATATATATATATATATATATTAGTTATGGTCTTTATCTAATTTGGATGAAAATGGAAACAGATATACATCATGTTTGATATATGATGAATTTATAGAATGCAAACACATAAGGAAACTAGAGTCGAACATGTAATTTATTATGACAAAACTCTTCACAAAACCTCAAAAAATAAAATTGAAGCTAAAAATCTTGATTAATTAACCTATTAATTAGAGCTCCCAAAAAACCTTAAAAATAAATAGAATGATTAGGAGCTCCTATTTCATAAAAGACACTTAATTACTAGGGTTTCCAAACCTCTTAGGGAGAAACTAAGATTTAGAAACAAGGGTATGGGGATTTTAAGGAATTAGATTCGGTGGAAATGAATCAAGAAAATTGTTCATCCAATTATCATCCTCTTCCTCGTCGATCCCTTCTTCTCCGCCGCCTTGGCTCGTGGTTTGATGTTCTGTTGCTTTCTCGATTTCATCATTCCTAGCAAATCTTCCTCGTATACGAGGTCTACTATCTGCCAAAGTTTTCCGACATACATACTGAAAGTAGAATTGATATTCATTACACAGAAAATTGGAAAATGAAACGATGACATAAGTACTTTTTTATTAATCTCGTTTTCCTTTAGTATAAAAAAACCCCGATATATTGCATATATATATAAGCGTAATTAACCTTGATTTTCTTGGTGAAATTGCGTTGGGTTTTCTTGCTTCGGTACCTCTCGATTCTTTCTTTCTTCTCATCAGGTGAGTAACGACAAGCTTTGTTCATGCTTTCAATGATACTGTTGCTCTCACTCGATAGTGGACTTTCTGATCGATGATAGTGATTTTGCACCATATTTACTCCCTAAGAAAAATAATCCATTTAAAATTAAAAGTGTAACTTGACAATTTATAAACACTTATTTCAAAGACATTAATCCAATTAATTAAAAACGAAATAAAATGGACACCTTTTGTGCTTTCTTTTTGTCAAGTCCTTGTGATTGAGACTAATCATATATGGTGGGGTAACAATTCTTTAGAACACTGTAGGGGTCTAATTACATACAAAAGTGATTTAGATAGTTGGCAATGCTATATATATATATATATATATATATATATATATGTATGTATATATATATATATATATATGTATGTATCAAAATCAATATATCAATATCATTACCCTTAACAAAATTTACCATATTCAATGTCCAAAAACAATCGTGGTCTTAAGTTGACTTCTAAAAAATGACATGTTTGACATTTAAAATGAACATATACCGTTAACAAGTAGATTAATTAGTAACGTATCAGATAAAACGCGTGTTTCAATATAAAATTCAAAATTTTTGCTTATATTTGTAAAATAAGGAAAGAAGATAAAACCTGCAAATCTTCGGCACTGAAAACCCTCCTCATGGTGGTGGAACTGCTCCCTTCTGAGTCCACAAATTCATTTGGGGGCGAAACGAGTTGATTAAACAACCCGTTATTATGAAACTGAGTAGCAATCGAATGACTGCTACCGCTCCTTTGAATCACCATACTCGGGCTCCCCGTGTAACTCGGGGAGTCATATCCTCCACTACTTGTTGCATACACTGTGTCGAACTCATACGTAGGAATGGCCAGAGGGGGTGGTGGCATGAAGTAATCGGCGGCAGCATGTAGAGGAGGCAGTGGTGCAGCCGACCCCTGGACGGCAAGAAACTCCGGCGAGAAGGAAAACGTGTCATTGTTGTGACTATGTCCGTACATGGCTGTAGTTGAAAACGGAGTGGTGTGTTGTGTATAGTAGTAATAGGAACTTATAGTTGACAGAATATGCCACACTCTTATATAAGCTGAAGTATGACGTCAAACATGACGTCATCGGAGCTATGGTTGACTTAAATTATTTGGGTACAATCTTTAAAATTGACTCCAAGACACTTATTATCGACCACTTTGAATACATCGACTGAAATGACATGTTTTCTGCTTCATAAGTCTTTCAAAATTCCATTGACTTTTTTCCGTTGACTTTAAAGACTCGTTGAGTTATATTTGGAGTATGAATTGTTTACGAAAACCTATATAAAAGTGCTAATATTATTTTATTATTAACCTGGATATTCAATCTGTTATAGGAGTCGACTAATTTAGAGCAATCATCCATTTCGTAGGTAGTCCGGAATCACCGTATTTGAATCTCCGTGGCTACAAATGAATTTTTATTCTTCATTGGATTCGAATATGAGACCAAACCTCCAGACATTTTTGACCTTTGGAGTCCAAACTCAAAACAATCAAACACCATTCTTGTGGTTAAGTGATGGGTTTTTCTCTGTTTTGTCATTTATCAATTATTAAAAAGGAAATTTTGCTTTATTCTTGTAAAACATTGTTTATCATGAAAATTATTTATTAAATCATTTAACCTTATTTTATTTATTTATTTTCTTCATCAGTGTTTTTTTGAAATAAAGTTATTTAATCATATTGTTCTTAAAAAATTAAAGTGTCTACGTATAAAAAATCATCACTTTTGACCTAAAAATAGGATAATAGAATTTATAAATACAATGATTAGATGTATATATCTAATTAATAATACTATACTTAAAAGAAAATTACTTGATAGTGTAACGGCTAACTATATATATTTAATTTGCAAATGTAAAAGAGAATAAATAAAATATATAACCGTGAGATTTAATTATTTTTTTTTTGATTAATCTCGATATCCAACCCGTTATGCGAGTCGACTAATTCCAAGGCGACCACCTGCTTTGCAGATAGTCCGGAGTCACCGTATTTGAACCTCCATAGCCACAAGAGGATTTTTATTCCTCCTTGGATTTGAACCTGGGACCTCTTGATACTTTTGACCTTTGGAGCCAAGCTCAAACCAATCAGGCACCACCCTTACGATTGAGATAAGCATTAAATAGAAATGGTGAAAGAAACGTGGTAAGGTTCCTCATGTAGAACAGTGGTGTTTCAAGGGGTGGGTGGTCCATTGTAGTAGTGTTAATAGAGTGTACCATTTGTGCCCAAAATCTACTGCGATAGACTATAAAATATTCTTGCACCCCCTCCCTCAACTTGCACTTTGACTATACATAATAGAACCTACTAGACCCATCCCCACCACTCACCTTCTATTACATATATAGCTATATATATATATATATATATAGAGAGAGAGAGAGAGAGAGAGAGATATTTATTGCATGTAAGCATGTGAGGGGCACATATTACTCCAATCATTTTAAGTAGGTTAGAGATGGTATTTTTAGACGTAATCATGATTAGAGTGGTGGTAGATCCCTTTCACTAGTCACTTGAGTCTTGACTTCACATTTTGGTGGAGGGTTAGTCTAATGAAACTCCCATCTACTCTAAATAAACCCTTCTATTAGTTTCACCTTTCACATGTACCAATATCATTTTTAGAACTACCACAATTCATCCATTATTAAGTTACTACTCACTATACTGTTTTTCATGATCTTTTAACTGTCTTGAAGCATAAGCAATTACCTTTCCACGTTACATCAATACATAATCCAAGCCCATCTTCGACGTGTCACTATATACCACAAAATCTTACATTCCATATGGTAAGATAGAATTGGTGTAGTGCATAATTTATTTTTTAACATTTGGAAGGCCTGAGCTTGTGCTTTTTCCCACTTATACTTTACATTTTTTTTGTCAATTTAGTTAATGGAGTGGCTATATGAGAGAAATCTTGTATAAACTTTCGATATTACCCAACCAATCTAAGAAAACTTCTGATTTCAGTTGGGAGTGGACTCTTTGTCGATGATCCATATTTGAGTATATTCTTTACTGACAGGTCATGAATGGTTAAGAAAATTAACATTGGTAAAAATCGTAAAAACAATTAATGAATGTTGTAATTGGTAATCAATCGGTCATTGATCTGTTGGTTATCATTGATGGACATATCCATCAATAACATTTCGTCATTGAAAGTCATATGCCTAGTTGTAACGAATTGCGTTTTTTATTAAATCAAAACTTTGAAAAATGTATAAAAGGATTATGCTGATATGTGTGAGTAAGAAATTAGTACAAAATATTAGTTAACACATGAAAGGGTTTATTTAACCTCACCATATATTAACTTTTTTTTATATAGTTCATGGTATTAATTTAATCAAATATACTTTTTCCTTTAAAAAATAGTTTTGTTATTATTACATAAACAATGTCATAAATAAAGATCGAAATTGAATATTTTAATACACGGATGCCAGACAGGAAAAATGGTCATGTAGTCACCTTGATAGGTTGTTACTTCATAATCTAGCTAAGTACATCATCCACACATAGATCGCACACTCCATTTCAACATTCACTTTCCTCATGTTAACTAGCTACGTGGCTATGTTTGCAGCTTGTGATAAAAATGCGGTCTGCTTAATAACTTTCAGTGCTGCTCAAACGAAACTAGAGTCTATATTGTTGTCACCAATTTTGAGGATCCAAGGTGAAGATCAACTTCCCTCCTTTGTTGTGCAATCTGTATCGGTCGAAACCTTATATAAAGTAGAACTATGGAGTCCTCTAGCCATGATAGTGACGAGTAACTTAACGCCCTTGTTGAATTCGATCTCATTGTGATGGTCATTTAAATATTCGTACTGTAGAGCAATTACTTTTACAATATTCTTGTATAATTGCTTGAAATATGTTTGTCCCGAATGTGTAATATTATCACAAACTATAGCACATCCATTGTACGGGTAAATACAATTCTTAAAGTTTAAATATAAATTCTTATTAAACTTCGTATAAATTATATTACTTTAACTAGATACAGAAACTTAATTGTCAAAACCATGTTAATGGTGGTAAACAAATTAAATAGAAAGATAGTAAGTAATAATACATTAAGCGCTTGCGATGTTATTTATAGTTTGCAACCATATCTAGACCCATGTGAAGAAATTAGAAAAATGAAAAAGCCTATAGGTTGACGCCACAAATTCCATTTCCAAAAACCATATTTCGATTCACTTCAACTATATAAACTTATCAAAATGCTTGATCTTCTTTTATTACTTGTCGAAGAGTGTGGTAAAACATTTTTTTTGATTAACCTGGATATCCAACCCCCTATGCGAGCCGACTAATCTCAGGGCGACTATCTGCTTTGCAGGTAGCCAGGAGTCAGTCACCGTATTTGAACTTCCGTGGCCACAAGGGGATTTTTGTTCCTCCTTGGATTTGAACCTGGGACCTCCTGACACTTTTGATCTTTGGAACCAAGCTCAAACCAATCAGACATCACCTTTGTGGTTGTGGTAAAACATTTTCTCCTTTGGCAGATAGGTTGCAATTTTATAGAGAAAAAACTTGTCTTTTTTGTGTACTCACAAGTCAAGAAGTTGACTTCTATGATTGTTGCAAAACATTTATCTATGGAGTGTTGATTAGAGAGGGAAATTTGACTCGTGAGTCTAGGTGGGGTACACTATAAAACTGAGAACTATCAGCGACCGAATAATCCATCACTAAAGGTTTAATAAATCACTCATAACTCGTGGATCAAAAGGTCGTAGATAATGTTATAGCGACGCATCAACGACGGACATTAACGACAGATCAACGACGAACATTTTTTAGCAACGTATTAGTGATAGACTCTTATCAACGACGGATTAGAGGGAAAACTATTAACGACAGATTAGATGGAAACTTTTAGCAACTGATTAGCGAGGGAACCATTTAGCGACGGATCAACGAGGTACTTTTAGGGATGGATTAGCAAGGGCCAGAGAACTTTAGTTGACGGGTTTTTTTGTCGCTAATCCGTCGTTGAATTAACTAACTTAAAAAATTACATATTTCCTGTTTTTTATACAATATTTGCCTATAAAATAATAAACTAAAATTGCCCAACAAATTAAAAATAACTAGTCCATACAATTCAAAACCAATTCGTATAATTTAAAATACCAAATTCATAACAGCTAATGTTCAATTTAACCACCGGGAGGTAAGGGGAAGTATCATGATTGTAGCATAAACGTAGTAAATGCTACGATAATGTGATCGGCTCGGCAAACTGGATAGCGTATCTAGCATGCTTGGCCTCTAGATCTGCGCTACTCTTCTGTTCAGCTCGAGCTCAGTCCGAGTGCGTTGGGACTCCTCACGGTTGCATTAGGCCTCCTCATTTACCTTTTGTCAACTTATATCTCAACTCTGCTACCAATATTTGACACAAATCAGTAATTTGTTTGAAATGAAAAGTAATAATGATAAAGTACATAAATATATAACCAACATACCTATACTGCTGATCCAGTATCATGTAATCTCCCGGTGCTACTGCTACATTGATCGGTCAAAAGAGGGATCTTGGGAGGTCCCGAAATCAAGATCCCTCTTATGTTATCATACACTTACCATACTCATTTCATATAGCTTTGAGGAGTTCAAATTTTTTCTCATATAGAGATATATTAGTTGCACCAAAAAATATGTCATCTAGATAAATTTATACCAGAATAACATCACTTTTATATTTTCTAAGAAATAGGGTATTATCAATTTTACCATGTGGAAAGTTGTTATCAAGAAGAAATGAAGATAATGTGTCATACCATACATGTGGAGCTTGTTTCTGTGCATATGCATTATTAGGCTTGTATTCATACTTGGGATGCTTTGGATCTTCAAAGGCTGGAGTTTGTTTCACATATACTTCTTTTGAGAGTTTTCTATTTAGAAAGACACTT